GGCGGTCCACAACATGCTGGCGGAGGAAAAAAAAAAAAAAAAAAAAAAAAAAGAATACCAACTTTATTTAGTTAAATTTTTTCTTTTCTATTTTGATATCTTATTTAACATTAAAACTTTATGGTATAAATGAAACAGTCTCATTATTAATTTATTAATATAAGTATATATTTATTATAAACATTAAGCTATTGTAGTTTCACAGTAAAAAAACACATCATAGTAAAACCAATACCTTCTCTGCTTCGCATCGAAGCTAAAAAATAATCCATTAAAAAATTCAAATAAAGAGAACATTTTTTGTAATTTTACTGCAAGTTTTAAAAATTACATTGGTGCGATTACTAACCCACATCCGCGAGTTCAACGAAATAGTTCCCTACAATTGTAGCTTCAAATTCTTTTATAGTGAAATAATAATTGGTTATTTAATATAACATTTACACGTTCTGTTAGGTACATACCTGCATGTACTAGAACATAGATAAAATATAGTCCTATTATTTAAAGGAATATCTAATAACAGAATGCGTGCATGCTAATAAGCAATAATATTTTATGACTGGTAAACGAGACAATTAATTTTTATGTTCATTTCCTAAATCATCATGGTTGTTTTCAATTCGAATTTGAAAGAATGTCGAATAATTACACACTTTTTTTGTAGATATTATAAACAAATCTAACCATAACTCAATGTTTTTTTTTTATTTATTATTTATAATAGTTCAAGAATATTTTTTTACATAACTATGAACATTTACATTTATTGTATATTTTATTTTATAATTATTAACTATCAGTCTAAGATTTTTTAGAAAGTTTCTCTAGAAGCTATTCAAGTATAAATCAAATATTTTCTACAAAAATATACAAGCAAACAAAATGTCTCCAGATTGATTTGGGATGACTCATATTTAAAATATACCGCTGTTCTCTCAATATAATAAATAGTTACAAATAAGATAAAACACCAGTTAAGAAAATATTATGGTAACTAAAGAAGCTTATGTCGTTAGCATTTAAGTGCAAAGAAAAATTGTTAAGAATGACATTAGTGTCAAATTATTTTTTGATGTATCAAATAAATCGATTTTTTTGTTAATAGCATTTTTTATTATTAAGCTAAAAAAAGATATCATTGATCATTAGTTACATATGCGATTGATACAGTTCGCCAACAAATAGCTGTACTAAACACTAACTTAGTTTGTGATATAGTATAAATTTATTATCGGGTTATCTGTTAAATATTGTATCATCTTATCTCTGTTATTATTGACGCATCATATATAAAGCTACTGAATTGCGGAAAAACTCGTTGATAAATAATTTAAAAAGCGATACAAAGTAAAGAGACTAATGAAATATTAAGAAAAAATCTGTTTTATAGAAAACAATTTTTAATTATTTCTATGGTGTACTCAATGTCGCGTTATTTTGGATTTGTATCAGCCTATAAATTAAACATATTAATGAAAATAAAGTCAGTGTTGTGACAGGAGCAAATTGTATTATTGTTAAGGAAATGTCTGATAAACTGAGGTGGTAATAACGTAGTAATTTAGGTACAGATAACCATAACTCTCAAGTCAGGTGAGGTCCCATTAGTATAATAAATATTAATTAATATCATGATGATTCACTTACATAACTGATCATTGGAATGTTCCACGCCTGGGCCACAACCGCTTCAGTATGACATGTATTACCCTCCGGTCCGAAAAACACTGCTACTTTATCACATATCATTTGTGTAATAGTTTTGGTCGCGTGCATTGTATCGCCTTGCGTGTCGTCCCATTTCAGCACAAGTGACACGTTTGGTAAGAGGTATGGGTCTTCTTCAATCTAAAACGCAAAACATCAAAGTTAACTGTTAGCTAAGTGTATGGATATCCGAATATTTCTAAATTGGAATGAAAAGTATAGCTAATATCTTATTAGGAAATATTTTTATAATTTCTGTCAACATATTTTCTATTAATGGGACTGTAAAAAAACTCTAAAACGGTAAGACAATTAAAAAAAAAAAATTACTCTGCTAGTAAATTTATTTTTTTTTACTCTTCCCTTGTATTTTCGTTATGTGAGGCTACAAACATAATATAATAGAATAGCCTCCGTTATATTAATAATTTTCGTTCCAAACAAAAAGTATTCAAAATTGATAATCGTCATGATAATTTAAAAATGAATAACATGTATAATTTGATAGTTAGATATGCTTACTGATTATTGAACCTTAAAAAAGAATAAAAACATGATAGAAACTAACAATTATGGTAATGCTTTTTTTTTTTAAAAATTTAGATAATTAGAAATAGATGTTTCAAAAAAAAAAAAAATTATAATAATATAAAATAGATAGCTCGGTTTTAATAAATTTGCTTCTATGTATTTTTACTCTATGGCTAGGTCAATTTAACTCATGGTCAATACTACTACTACATTGTAATAACTTCCTCGTTCTTTACTTGACACATTTAAATATTTTAAATTCCACTAATCATTAGTAAAATAAATTTTGTTCGGACAATGTAATATCAGCCCTCAAGCTTTTCATTAATTAGCTATCTAGGTATTAACTCATAGATATAAAAAACACAGCACAGTGGGATTTCAGTATAGTTAGGTGAAGTATCTGATAGTGCTTCAAAAGACGTGTATTAAAAATACGCTTCAATTCAAATCTTTTTAATTTCACAATAATTTGTAAATTTGTAATTTAACAATTTCTGTGCTTCTCAAATGATTTGCTTAATTGAAGATAATGCAATTTTTTAAAGGAAAATTACGAATTTGTTTGATTGACGGCCATTTTCTCATAGAAGAACAATCGTAGGGACAATTTTTTTTTTTAACATTGTAGTAAACATTAAAAGATTCAATTTGATATTGGTTAAAGTGAGTTTTTCAAATTATTGGGGCTTATTACACTAACTAGATTAAATCGGGTTCTTTTGACACATAAACCAAAAAAATTGGTCCAGTGAAAGCTGAGAATTTTTATGGATGGACATAAAAAAACGCAAATCATGGTAAAACCAATATTTTCTTAGTGAAAAATAATGAAAAGCCATGAAAAAATGCGTTATAAATGTCTATTTGAATTAAAATATATGTCCAAATTTTTCACTAAATAATGTATATACGGGCCTATTACACCACTAATTATGGTCTAGTATTAAGTAATACATTTATTACATAATACACATACCTCCTCCCTTACTAGAAAATTAATAACTGTAATATTATTATTATATAGCATTTGGAAAAAACCTAGAAATAAACTATATTATAGACTATACAGGGTGTTCAGTAAGTCAGGAAACGGGTTTCTATTGTTCTCATTGTTTGTAACAATGAGAACAATAGAAACCTGTTTCCTGACTTACTGAACACTCTGTATATCTTATTTCTCCTATTCACGGACCCGTATGTGTCTTCCCCAAATAACGTTTTTGATTTTTAGAATTCTGTTGGTGACAGTTGCCGTAAAAAAAAATTTAATAGCAGGATTGTATGTTTTTTGTTTTTGAAATATTCTAGAGGGTGCAATGACATAATATACTGACTTCTTTCAACGCCAATGTCAACGCTCCAGAAATCGACAGTCCCTGTCTGTCAGGCAATTTTCCTTTGGCAGCAGTAAGATATCCGACCGTTAGGTTTCTCAGCACCGAGTTGCCGGCGTATAAATCGGTAGGCGTTGCGGGATCTGACAACATAAAGAACACGAGCAACAAGATGATAATCACCTCCTTAACTCGACTGTTCTGCATTTCACCTATAACAATTAAATAAGCAAAACTGATATTATGATTTAAGTCAAAATTACTTTAAGCAATAAATATTTTTGAAAAATTATAACAGTAACGAAAATATTTTATAGTAGGTTTGATATAGATTCAGCTACTGCTTAATGTTTTGATAATAATCTACAATTTGCGTTTAAATTTATAAAATAAATACGTTAAAAATTTTTTAGTTGAATTTTTTTTTTCTTGAAGATTTCATAATAAAAAAATTGGCGTCTAAGCTTATTTTGTTTAATTTCAATCTAGTCTACGACTAATATGTTAATGGGCATTTGTTAGAGAGTCCACAAAATAAATTATATTTTAATGTAGAAGGTTTTGGTAAGGAATAATATAATTATTTAAAATTAACTATGAGTATAATTTCATGTTTAAAATTTGATTCGAGAAATTTTAGCAATAAAATATATTTACAATTACCGGATAACTGTTAAAATAGTTAAAAAAAAATTAATATTAAACATAAAATGGGGTTTTTTTTCTTTAAACAACTATAGTTTTGTATAAAATATGTCCCATCTTGGATCTATGGTTAATACACAATACTGGTATAAACTATGTAAATTTTCTTGTTATGTCTAGAGAAAACGTTAGATTTTAAAAGAGAATGTTAAATATAAATAACATAATAATAAATATTCTTTTTATATTATTGTTTAATGAAGTTGGATTTTTTTTTTCTTTAAATTTTTAATTTGTTTTTTACCTGCAGACCAACAGCTCCATATTTGAAAGCAGCTCAAATGGATGCGTCACCATCTCGAATCTATAAAACAAAAATAAATCTTATTAGACGAAATTACGCCATGAGATAAAATATGAGTTCAGTATCGTCAAAAAGACGGAAATGTCAATTGTGTAAAAATGTGTAATATTGTACTAATAATGGCAGTAACAATGATAATAATAATAAAGGAAAATGAGAAGCACTGGTCGAGATAAAACAATCTATTTTTAGTACTTATTGCTGTGAGCGTATCAGAGGTCAAATGAATCCTACGCTAATACTAAGCTTTACACTAAAAGTAACTTCTATATGCAACTTTATCATTATACAAACACACATATATATATATAGTAATCAAACGCATACAATTAATACATCTAAAAAATGTTTCACAAGAATATCTGTCGTCATTATCGAATTCTTCAATATAACATTTATATGGTATTATATCCAAAAATTGTATCTTCGTCATATCTTCTACTGCTTTTATTATAAGTACTATGACTGACTACTACGACTGCAATCGTTCCATATTTCATTATCATTTTTTTTTTTTATGAAACGGTTATCCAGAATAAAGGTTTTATAATAAAAGTAACCTTTTTCCTATAATTATAATTATTTTATGGTTGACAATATTAAATAGATTTTTTTCTTACTATTATTCTTGTTATACATATATAAAAAGCTAAAAATCTTGAAAATTAATGGTTTAAATTTATTTTTAATTGAATGTGATTTGTTATAAAGAATACATTATGTAAAAATGTTAATATCTAATTAATATTTCTGCGCAACTTTTAGTAATAATAGGTAGAACGTACTAAGTTGATCTTTAAAAATAAGAAAACGATTTATTACAATTAACATTGAAAATTATCAGTATTACTACAAACATTTACAGCAATAATTCATGTAAATTAATAAAAAAATATTTATCATTTATTATTCTAATTTTATGCTGTTCGTCTTACTAAGTTTACCTGGCAATTGAAAAATAGAAAAATATCAAATAAACAAAGAAAAGTTGCGCGTCAATAACTATTTACGTATGAAATACGATCCAAGAGAAAAAGAAAATGCTTAAAAATATAAATCATTGTTCTGTTTAATATTGGAATTTACAAAATTATATGGTAAGATTTTTGTTGCGAAGTATCAGTTACTCTGTAAGAGACTCATGAAACAATAACATCTATATATCATTTTGTTTTTTGCATAAACATAAAATCTTATTGACACGTGGAAAACCTATTCGACACTGAGTGCTTATTGTTAAAAAGTCTGCCAAAACGTTTCGAGTAACGTCATAATTCAATAGCATTTCTGAGAATTTTTTATTTCGAACAGTGACCAGGTTGAAACTAAAAGTTAATTCTGCATAAAATATTATTTGACAACCACATGTAGAAGGCTATATTAAATTCATCTAAATATACTTATAATATCAGTACTATATTATGTTATAATATGAATATGGCCTTAGATATCATTAGTGAATGTAATATTTAAGTAAACCTTTTATACTTTGTAATTATAAGTGAAGTAAAATAGGTCTTACTTTATATTAAGAAAAAAACACACCTTATGGTGTGTTTTTTTTTATTTATTTAAAAAAAATGAAGAGGAAAATTGGGTCAAGGAGGGGCATTTTTTTTTGCATAAAAACCGTGTTTTTTTATTGTGTACTATGATACATTGTAATGCATAGAAACATGTCAATTATTTGTTTAGAATATACATATTTTGAATTAAGATAATTAAAAAAAAAAATACAACAATAAATTAAGTTCTTTATTAGAAAGAATTTAAAATTTGATTAATTACAAAAATAATTTTTATTGTTTTATTATCAGTTCAATTAACAATAAATTAATTTTATAATCCAAGAATTTTCTGTTTAAAATGATTCTAACAATATTATATTGCACAGATTAGAAACAATATTCAAAATTAATTTAAACGTTTGGACATGTTTTGATAAAATTAATTGTATTTGCATTGTTTGAGTAATATTTAAACTATCGCTGACAAATAGTTAGTAAATTTAAAGGTAATAATTAAAGCAGTTAGTACAAAAGTAAAATACTAGAATGTACTTGACATAAAAATTAGTTAAAAAAAATGTACATTAAAAAATTAAGATATTAATGTTCTCGTAGGCAATCAATAAATGTTAAATTCATAAATAAAATTATTTTATATCTATTTTTTTACAAGACTCAATTTCTGCAATGTTAAAATTTTATTAATCGCCAATTGACATTACATGTAAAACCATATATTTCAAGCTAAGCATTTAATTTTGAAGTTATAAAAAATTCATAAGGTTATATAAATTTCTCAAATATTTAATGGAATTACATTGTCATAAATGTATAAATATTTACAATGATTGCAATTTATGTTACTTGATTAGATAAAAATTCTAACAAAACTATTTTTTTGTGCGATTTGAACTATGAATTATTCATGAATTATCAGTTTGTATTTGATAATAATAATATAAGCTACAGGAGATTTGGTGAAGTTAAAAATATACTGGATCCTGTTTTTCTGCAGAGGCAATTAAAATAAAAATTGGACGAATTACAAAAAAATCTTAGTTCAGATTCAAAATAAATGAGAGTTGAGAAAAATTAATAGTTGCTATTCATTTCTTAATGTTTATAAGATAACTTGTTATACGCCGATAAAACATTTTTTAGTTATTTTTTTTAATTTATTTTATTATTAAAAAATATGACGTATTGATCAATTAATAAGATTTTACTATGTATAAATAATATGAATAATAATAATAAAACTTGATGTTTTATTTATAAACTAGTTGTTTTACAAGCTATCGAATTTGCCGAAGAACATTTGCTAAGTATATTATCAAAATGTTGTTTTGTATTTTGACCTAATGATTTTACACCTAATTTTATTTTTGCTGTCTTAAATGGCAGAAAGCCTAATATAAATATCACAAAATCTTTAAAATCAAAATTGCTAATTTTTTCTAAAGATCTTCAAAATTTAACTTATAATGAACTCATAAATAACTTAAATGATTAATGATAAAACATTCTTAATTTTGATTGATTATTGAGCAAATTATTTTTTACCTAAAGTTTAATATTTTTTTGGTTGCGTACTTTTCTTAAATAATTGAATATTAGATAGAAATATATTTTCAGAGTAACAATTAAAAATATTAATTTTACACATTTAGCAATAGGTTCATATTTGTTTTCATGACAAAAACTTATCGATGGGTCTCAACTTGTAATTGTAACACACGCTGCCTACGTGTGTATATATGCGATTATGGTATTTCATTTGATCATTTTTGCACTTTAAGTAAGAAGCTAACTCAAGATTACGATTTGCGAGTAAAATATAACTTATAATAAGTAATTCAAACGTAGTACTAGGAGATTTTTACGTAGATAATTTTATATGAAACAACATACTAATACGGCGAATAGTTGGGTTCATAAAAAATATCAAAATAAGATAAGCGTAAACATACATAGTATTACAATGATTACATATTAGTTATCAAATAAAACCAACAACTAATATTAAATTGTTATAATAAAATAAATAAATCATAAACAAAAAAAAACATTTGAAAATGAAACTTGAATTAATCATTTTAAAAATGTTCATTACTACGTCGTGATATCCGTTTTCTACAAATATCAATAGTTTTGTTAATGAATAATAAATTTTCAAATAACACTCTATCTTGAATCTCTATTTCTATTAATTTTTATTTTATATAAAAATGGTAACATTCACAAAAATATCTCGAATACATTCTGTTTCTAAGCGCATTATTAAACTTATCAATATTATAGTTATACCTTATCCCTTTTATTTTTTCATATTTTACTTGGACTTATTTAGAGAAAATAAATTATGAATAAAAATTAGATTTACATGTTACAATTAGGAATAACATATTTTCACTTTTTGGAGACAAAAGTCACTAAACAGGTTTTTTTAGAGTGCAAAAAGAGTTTTATTCAATAAATGAGTAATTTTTTAAATATTTTTTATAAAAAATACAACAAATAAGAAGAAGAAACAAGTTTTAATAAAGTTTTATACTGACTATTGAAATTATTTTTGAATTTCTCTTGTGGATAAATACATATGTAATTTATTACAAACGTTTAAAAAATACGCAAGAATTTTGATTACATATTTTTTATTTTTTACACGAAGATACTGTGATATCAATAAGTTATTGCCTTGTCTGTCATTTTATAGTCTGAGGTAGACAATATATACATACAGTTTTTATGGAAAGTCATGAATTCTTTATGACATTATAAGTGAGTTAAAAAATCAAATCACTACTAAAAAGTCATAAAATTGATTATTTGTATAACTTATGTAAAAAAACATACACACCGAAAGTATACTGAACGAGATAATAAATAAAGAACACGCACTTGTTAAAAGGTTGACCCTTGATTAAAATACTATTGAACATTAGAAGTACAAAGGTTCTATTTGAAGATACTAAATTAATAATAACGTTTAAATCATATAGATGTATGTATATTTTGCATTAAATAATGTAAGACAGGATTTTCAATATTTCAAGGAAAATACATAAATGTTTAGTTTTAAAATGTGTTCATAAACAAACAAAAACTGTATAGAGGCTATACTCTTACAAGACTAATCGTTTTGATAACTGACAAAAGGATTAACGTAAGAAGCTACGACATGCGCACAATTAGATTCAGTGACATTCATAACGTAAATAATCATAATTAACTCTTCAAATATCTTGAATTTTGACAATAATAAATGCGTACAAATAATTAGTAATACTAATAATTAGTGATTAAAAATCAAGTACAAGAAATTATCACGAATTGTAAGATTAATAGAACATCGTCCAGTGATTTTTTATAATATTGACATTTTTACAATTTTAATCATAAAAAAACCTGCTTTTAATAATCGAAGAAGTAATAAATTTTTTATTTTTAATATGATTGATACTTATTTTATAAACCGATTGAAAGTTATAA